TCGTTTTTTTTTTTTTTTTCTTTTCTTTTTCAGTTTCATTGCATGAAAAGAAATGAAAAATAACCCAAATGTGTGACAGGTGTGTAAGCCAACAGCAGTAGTTTAAGACGAACATAACTACCAAACATAAGCTTAGAAGCGGATTTATTCAATTTATAATATGGCTTTTGCAAATGGGGAGTGTTAAAACGGGAATTGGTATTTAAGTGAAGGTGGAGGAGGAGGTAATTTGCATGTAGCAAGACGACTGAGACTAATTATAATTGCAGATAAAAAAAAAAAATTTTTTTTTTTTTAGTGAGGGGATTTGCCGGTTATTAGGCGGATGTCCACATCTAAACTCAAATTTCTCGTTCAATTTCTCTGTGTTATCGTTCGTTTTTACTTGCTGTTTTTTTTTTTTTTTCGAAGTTGATTGATCGGCTGACTGGTTGTTAGGTTTGGTTGCTTCTCCTTTGCAGTCCATTGAATTATAACTTCTTGTTTTGGTCCTTCACCTGGTTTCTTCGTTTTTTGATGTTTAGTCTTCTGCCCGGCTCTGTCTCTTTGCTTCTCCTCTTACTTCACTGGTGCAATCTCGTTTTTGATGGTATAAACGAAATAAACTAAAGCATGTTTACTAAACAGGTTCCAATCAAAGCTGACCACCACTTTATTTCATGTTCAACTAACTGCTTGCTTAATTGTCAAACATCACAGACACACACAGAGACACACACAGAGACACACACACACACCACCACACACACACACACACACACACACACACACACACACAAACACACAGATACAGACACAGACGAACACACCTCCACAGACACAGACACAGACACCAACGTATATTTATATATTCATATGTACATAGAGAGATTAGTGAAAAGTTGTTGAAAAACTCTTGTCGTCGTTTAGGGTTGCTGACTTCTGTTGTTTGATCTTAAAATTACCGAACATATATATGTATATGTGCATATGTGAAGTATAGGTGTAAACATATTTGTTTCTGCTTTTTTTTTTTTTTTTTTCTTTTTTTGTTAAACAATTTTCAGATATTTTAAGCAGCTTGTCTATTTTTTAATTTTCTTTCGCTTTTTGAATAAACGTTAAATTTTTTGGTAATTTCAAACATAATTTATACCTTCTTTATCTGGTGTTAAAGTGTTGTTGAATGGTCGTTATAAGGTTTCACAACCATTGCGGTCTTTTATTCCAGCTGAAAAGAGAAAACGAAAAAAAAAAACAAAAAATAACAAAAGCATAGACATACTAACATAAATTTTTGGATTATTTTTTTTTTTCTATCATTTATTTCTGGCTTTTCGTTTCACTGATATTTTAGTAACAGTAAAACAGATGAACTGCAAATTCGACCGGTAATAACCAAGAAATAGTCTGTTATTCAGTTTAAAAAAAAAAAAAAAAAATTTGAAGAATGATTTCTGATGTTGTAAAAGTTTCGTCGCTTATTTTTATCCTTATATTGCACTGACGACGAATTTTTTGCTATCCAACAAATAGAAATGATTTTCTAATCATCGACTAAATTGCTGTTTCTTTACAATATGCGTTTTTTAACAGTATTGTCAGCGACGATTTGAACAGTACAATTATAAACAAAAAGTAAAACAGCAACAAGCATTAATACTTTACATATTTACTCTCAATTTTCAGAGGGTTTCATCATAATTAACATCTTAAGTTGTATTTTTCAAACTTACGAGAGCCAAAAATCATTCTGCTAATGATAATTGTTACAATTACGGTAGCTATAATAACTTATATATCTTTTTTCCATATTGGATATAGCAGATTGCTGAAGTGTAAGAAAACTGGAATATTCATAGTTAAAATTTTGTGCTTATGATAAATATTGGTTAGTAAGTTAAAAGATTACCTAACGGTTTAAATTGTAGTTAGTTTTGTTGTTGTTGTTGATTAGATTACAGAAAACTGTTGAAATTGAAAATCTCTAAAGTTAGTTTGAACAAGTATTTAAAACTACTGAACATTCCACATTGGTTACGTTGTTTAACTATTATTGTAAAGTTTTCTGCATTATTGACAATTAACAAGCTAAATGACAATTTTTCTATATAAAAGCAGTTTTTTTTTTT